CAATCAATGGGGAATGGAGAATTTGGATTTCCAAATCTTCTTAAGTTGATTCTTGGGGTTTCCAAATCCAAGGGTCTCCCACGAAGACTTGTGGCTCTCCTTTGGTTTTCTGTTGAAGGCAAGGTGGAAGCAAGCGAAGGGAGGCGCTGCGACAAGCGGATGCCGTAAGTTCCAAGGATGCGAAGCCCAGGCTTCACTCACGGTGTCCTCCTGAGCGAGTCGGGCATGTACCAAAAGCAAGGCTAGATACCGAAAACGCAAAAAAAAACAAGCAAAACAAAAACACGACGTCGGGAAAGGCGTTGCTTGCCACGGGCAGTTTGGCACCAAGGGAGACCAATAAAAGGAAAGGGGTCTGACGGTCTAACCAAAAGCGCGAGGGATTCTTAACATGGAATATTCCTCTAGTTATCAAAACATCAAACAATCAGCGGTAGTGCTGTCGTACCTCTTGTCAGCAAGATTCCTTGTTCATCGCAGGCTAAGCCCATAAATACCACAAGAAGTGCAAGCGGGGTTCAGGTCTACCCTCAGACAAGCAGGGTCTTGCGCGTGCTTGCCAGTTGCGCGTGCATATAACAGCTCGCTCTTTGCAAATACTTGTTCTCCAACCAATAGACAACGTGGCCCGCGTGGAACAGGAGGCGAGTTCTTACAACATTCAGTCTTCGCGGTTGGAGTGTCGATGCAGTCCGGCATAAGCCCGCGGGATCTGCTTACACGGTTCACCTCATTTGTTTCTCACTCGCAATGCTTGGGAATCCACGGTGCCGTGAGGCAATGGACCAAGCTGCACGTCAGGGTGACGGTGAGTTGCACTCTTGGCTAGAGTCGGCTTATAGCTGCCCGCGGTTGTGCGAATGAACATATGCACTAATATGATTCATTTGCCCTTGTGATTCATGTTTGGTTTAGCCGGACTTTTCAGATCCAAAGCAGACTCATGGCTCAGCTCATCGCGCCTGTCAGCGACATGGCGCCGTGATGCTCCTCCTCACCTCCCTCATCGGAGAACAGCTCTGAGTGCGTGTAGAGCTGGAAGACAAGGAACATGAAATACCTCAGGGGCTATGCTGTCACGGCGACCGAATGAACCCGGAAGTGAGTGCTCAGCAACCAACCCGGGCAACCACTCAGAGATACACCAATTCCAAACATCACCCGGTTTCAAAAGGGCTCTAAATCAGCTGGTCACAGTGATTCGACCAGAATGTCAAGGCTTTTCTGACTGCATCCCACTGAGTACAGTAAGTGGGCGGAGCCGTGCAAATGGGATTGCGAGAAGGCTCGCCCCCTATGTCCCACGAAACAAAACACAACCGTACTGCCCGAACATTCCCTACCCCAAGGCGCTACCATTCTGACTGTGAGCATGCCCATGTGCCTCCTCACATCTCTCTGTCAAACATGTGTTACTGCTTTGCGGCTGATGTCTATTTATTACTCAACCAGGCAGCCAGCCAGCCAGCCAGCCGGCCGGCCGGCCAGCCAGCAGCTGCGTGTGAGCATTTGGACCGTGCTCCCTAAGGTTGAATGTATCATCTACGTAATATCTTTGTCCCGCACAAACGCGCACGCACACACATTCTTTCTAACATACGAGCACAACGAACCGGGCATCCAAAGGCGCTATTCCAATGCGGCTCTCCTCTGCACGTAAGGCCAAAGGCCAAGTTCAAACGAGGCTGGGCCTCCCAGGATTTTCCCCCGCCAAGCCACACCAAGCACAGGAAGAGGGAGCATATCCGCGAGAGAAGCAGGATCTCTGCGTCGGTACTCCCCTGGATGGAGCGGAACATGGTGGGCAGGCAGATGCTAATGGAAGCCACCACCTGGCAGGTCATGTTCGCCGCAGCTCCTGGCAACTCAACTTGGATCTAGGAACTCAAGTGAACGGATGGACAAAATCCTGCACCGGTGGTTTATCCCAGGAATGTGACTAGACAGTGTTGAATAGTTGACAGCACACAGTAGCACTTTTTGATGTCAGGAAATCATGATTGAAGGTCGCGAGCAAACCCTGTGGCCGCTGTCCCCATCGACTCCAGAAGATTCCGCGTGCGGTTCGGAAGGCTGAGAGGAATCCAGGCTTTTGGATGATTCCGGGTAGACTTCCCCCCAACAGTTGATTCCCCACGCACGGGCATCCCTGGGTATAAGTCTACCCTTGAAGTAAGCACAAACAATTCTGGTTTGAAACGGTGGCCGCTAAAATCCAGGGTGGTGAAAAAACACCTTTGTTTAAACCCCTTTAGCCTTTAGCTGCTGAAACAGCCTCCTTTTGGTTTCCCTAAGGATGCCAACAGCTTAACCAACTTTGCCGAGAGCTCTCCTTGAGAATTGAACTTGGACTCGGAGTGGTAGTAGCCAGCGCCGAGGATTGCCATGCCCAAGACCAGCAACAGATTGGAGAGCACAGAGCCCAGCAGGTTTCCTCACTGTCACTTACTGACTCTTTGTGGGGTTGACCACTTAATTAGCGGAAGGAACCCATCAAACAAAAAAGGGACAAAGGGTGTGACTCAACAACTGGGCTTGTCTTCAAACAGACACCCCAAAATGGGCGTCCACCTGTTGCTTTTTGTTCCTGCAAAAGGAGCTGCAAAAAAAAAACACGGACACTCAATACTCGGAGCTCCGTCTCTAGGTGTTTGGAGGCCAGAGTGGCCAGGTGGCCAGCCCGTGCCCCCCCCTTGCAATAGAACGACATCATGCGATTGGTGCCTGACTGGTAAAATTGAGCAAGGACATGCGGTAGGTGCTCGCCCAACGCGCTTGAATCAAAAAGGTTTGATGCACTTGGTGTAATAAGCACGAAGCTTCAGACAACCACTTTGTGGCGGCAGCTTCTGTTGCAACCATCAACTCATGCTATGCAAAGGCTATCGCTGACACCAACAAAAGGGCAGTGACCGCAAACGAGCTCCCCAACAGACATATCTGAGTGGCTCAGCTCCCAACACGTTGCCCTCTGTGATGAACCCATTGTCAGTGGAGAAACAACCCGGGCAACGCAAAAGATCTGTGATTGTGTGGTCCATATCGATTAGATGATTCGATGCCAGCAAGGGCATTCAGCGCCAACCACGTTTGGCCAAGCCGCGAGACACCAGCACGGTATATACGGTAAGCGTTTGTGTCTAGTCGAGGGCGTGCAGTTGTGGTACCCTTAATCCTCTGGTGCAAAGCAATACGAACGGACATCTCCCGAGGCGCCCTGGACCACTTGGATCAGCCCAGCCCGCACGGCCTGCACACACATAATCATCTCCACCTGGATATGGCCACACGGCGGGAAGGCAACAATGGATGGGTAGCACGCCCCAAGATTAAAGACGACACGCCACAGCATAACCCACATTGATCAACTTCATGTGCCCCATTTGCCGCAATTCTGGAGAGACACATGCATGAATAATGAAGATGTCCACACTAGCAACATCATAGGAAACAACTTAAGCAAAAGGTAGGAAGACACAATTGCCCCATTGTTCCCACTTGCAACAGCGAATTTGGAGCAACCCCTAATACAACAAAGGGCAATTGGACGGGTCTTCAGACAGGCGCAAGGCTGAGCCAGTCATTCTATCCTCAGGGACTGCAATAATCGGGGAGCAAGCCAGAAAGCAGACCACCTACTCTTGGCAAATCGATGGATCGGAGCCCTACCAATGAAGTGCATTGAGCCATGCCTTTGCTCAACGGAACTAAGAATGATAGAGCTCTCCAAAAGCTCAAATTCAAGTCTCCGCTAGGGGCATTTCTGCCAACTGCTTGCAGTCCCAATGCTAGACGAGTGAACACTCTTGGTGAAAACCTCTTGTGCAACCATTGAGGGTCACTGAAGTCCAACATTTCTGGGATGCGGTCCACGGGTTCATTTATTCTGGCGAAGCCATATTCAAGTCCCAAAATCGCAATCGCCAAGATTCTTCACTGCGCGCTCGCCAATCACTAACATCCGCACACACACACACACACACATTGTGTGCCAGTGTGACACATGCCTTGACGGAAGCTGTCCATGAAACCAGTGAACGATTTAATGAGGTCCAATTTGTTTTGACATATCTCCAAACTTGACTATGCCTTCCGACTCCCTACATAAACATCACAAACCCCCAGTGGTTGGTGTGAAGCCATTCCGACAATCCGGACAAGGCAAAAGAAAACCGCCGGGTTTGGCGGGTGCTGCCAGACCGCTGCATTGCCGAAGGTGGCGTTCAAAAGGCCGCCCACCTCAAGTTGTCTGAAGTCATTCCAATAATCCGCTCTTCGTTGCAGCCAATACTCCAACAAAATCCAACTAAACCTCTGCACCTGGCACTTCCAACAACGACTCGAGAGCTGACGGACGAAAGCTATCGAAGCTGTAGCAAACACTCGATGCGCAAAATGGTGCTACACGCGGCAAACAAGCACCACAACTGAGGCGCTTGAGCGATCTTGAGCAAGATGAAAAGGCAGGAACAAAGCGAACACAAAACAAGAGGAGGAGCAAAAGCAACAGGCTGGGGAGAATGGAGATTTGCAGAGCGGCAAGAAAAGCGTAGGCATGGAGAATGGGGACGTGAGCTGAGAGCAGGGGAAAGATCAGAAGTGCTCTTTGGCGAAGTGCAAAAAGCAAATCCGAAAGCTCCGCAGCCAAACATAAGTGTCTTTTTTGAGGAACCGCCCTTTTTGGTGGGTTCGATTTGAGCGGGCCCCTTATGAGAGCCTCCCCTCCCTCCGCCCCCTCACCCCCTCACCCCCCCGGTCCCTGGGGCTGGCGCCATCTGCCCCGTGTGCGCCGCCATGGCCTCCGTGGCGGCACCCAGGATGGAGGCCAAGGGCACGATGGCCACGAAGTTGCCTAACAAACGGAGAAAAAACGGGGGAAACCGGGGCGAGGGGGGGGACATGGGGATGGTTGAGAACCCACCTCAACTCGTTTTCGAGCTACATTTGTGGTACAACCTGAATGGGTGTGTTTCTTGAGGCTCGATACATGGAGTGGTTTG